GGAGAGGGATAGAGAGTTAGAAACATCAATGAGAGAGAAACACCGGTCAGCTGCCTTCTGCGTGCCCCCTACTGGGGATGTGCCGGCAACCAAGGTACATGCCCTTGACTGGAATCAAACCTGGGACCCTTGAGTCTGCAGGCGGACGCTCTATCCACTGAGCCAAACCGGTCAGGGCTCCATTGATTTTTAGACAGTGGAAGCAAGGGGGGAGAGATAGAGAGGGAGAGAGACATAGATGTGAGATACATTGATTGGTTGCTTCCCACATGTGCCCCAACCAGGACCGGGGATCAAGCCTGCAATCGAGGTACATGCCCTTGAATGGAATCAAACCTGGGACCCTTCAGTCCAGGGGCCAATGCTCTATCCACTGAGCCAAACCAGCTAGGCCCATATCCTAATCCTTTTTTAGTGAGAGTTTTTATTGAAATTATTGGGTTAATAACATTAGGTAAATTTCAGGTGTACAACCTTATACTACAATACATTTACTCTGTTATGTGCTCACCATATGAAGTCTGGTCTCCATCTGTCACCTTGTATTTGATCCCCTTTATCCTCCTACTAACCCCTTTCCTTCTGGTAACCACCATTCTGTTGGATGTGTAAGTTTGTTTTTGTTTGTTGCTTTTTGTTTTGTATCCTACATAAGTGAAGTCATACAGTTCTTGTCTTTATCTGTCTCACTTATTTAGCACAATATTCTCAAGATCTATTCATGTTGTCGCAATGGCAGTGATTCATTTTTTTCATGGCTAAGTAGTATTCCATTGTGTGTGTTCCCCCAAAAATGTATGCACACACTTTGAATAATTTTAAAGGTAGTGTTTATTAAAACTACATTTCATTTTCAAAATTGAACTATCAGCTGTTACAGTGTGTATACATTTTTTGGGGGATGCTGTGTATGTACCACATCTTCTTTATCTCAGCTCCACTAATGATAAGAAGTAGATGAAGATGACAAATTCTGAACAAGAAAAACATTTAAAATTTCTTTCTAATCAGAATTCTAAGTTTTGTTTTACTTTTTTTCCTGCCTTCGTGAGACATCAATTGAGATTATTTTTCTTAAAGCACTACAAAGACACCAAACAAAACCGATAATCAAGTAAGCATCCAAATTCAGTGGATACACAAGCCATATAAATAGGAAGACAATTTTTAATTTAGATTAGCCAATCTGCTGTTTAGATTTTATTGAGGTGGAAATGACTTGTAAAGAATAGTTCTTTTTTTGTTGTTTAGTTAATCCTCACCTGAGAATATATTTTGTTTTGTTTTCTCACCTGAGGACTGAGGATATTTTTCCCATTGATTTTCAGAGAATTGAAGGGAGTGGGGAGGAGAGAGAGACACACACACATACATCAATTGGTTGCCTTCCACAGGTACCCCTACTAGGGGCAGGGCTGGAACCTGCAACCTAGGTATTGTCCTTGACTGGGGAATCGAACCTGAGACCCTCTGGTGTGCAAATGGATGCTCTAACGACTGAGCTGCTAGCCAGGACTGTTTTGTGTTTTTTGTTTATTTGTTTTTAATATATTTTTATTGATTTCAGTGAGGAAGGGGGGGTAGAGATAGAGACATCAGTGATGAGAGAGAATCATTGATCAGCTGCCTCCTGCACACCCCACACTGGGGATTGAGCCCACAGTCCGGGCATGTGCCCTGACCAAGAATCAAACTGTGACCTCCTGGTTCATAGGTCCATGCTCAACCACTGAGCCAAGTTGGCTGGGCTGTTTTGTTTTTTTTTAAAATACATTTATTGATTTCAGAGAGGAAGGGAGAGGGAGAGAGAGAGGGAAGCATCAGTGATGAGAGAATCTTGATCAGCTGCCTCCTGTACACACCCTACTGGGGATCAAGTCCGCAACTGGGGCATGTGCCATTAACTGGAATCGAACCTAGGACCCTTCAGTCCACAGGCCAATCAATACTTTATCCACTGAGCCAAACTGGCCAGGGCTTAATTGATTTTTAGAGAGAACGGAGGGTGGGAGGAAAGAGAAACATTGATCAGTTTTCTTCTGTATGTACCCTGACTGGGGATCGAACCCAAAACCTTTTGGGGTACAGGATGACGTTCCAACCAACTGAGTCACCTGGCCAGGGCAAGAGCAGTTCTTAATATTAGTTGTTTTTATCTTGGAAAGATGTCTGGCAAGTTTGGGAGAAATGCAGTTTTCTCTGAATGAAAAGATAGAGGCTAATACACAGAGTACAGCAAATTTTAATGGAATAGCCTGAACCAAGATCATTCTGTGAAAATGAAAAATTCTACCTTATTCTAAGTGTTAAAAAAGTTGAAAAGAGGTTCTTTGTTTAGATAATGAGGAATTAATTTTGACTCTAGAAATCTTTCCCATCTGCTCATTACTTTTAACTTTGGAGGGTGGGTCAGAGTATTACTGATACGATAAAGCTTGAGATTTGAAGGATTATTTAATTTGCAGGACACTGTTGAGCACTCAGCTTTTGCTGTTTTGGGGGTATCCAGCAGATGGGAGTCTGGATTGTCATAGTCACTATCATTATAAAACTAAGCTTGCCTGAATGCTCTTATATCCAAGGCTTTCTAGAAGCAATAATTGTTTGTTTCTACAGGTGCTTCTTCCTGCCCTCTCTCCCACCATGACCATGGGGACAGTTCAGAGATGGGAAAAAAAAGTGGGTGAGAAGCTAAGTGAAGGAGACTTATTGGCAGAGATAGAGACTGACAAGGCCACTATAGGTGAGATTTCTTCAGCTCTTAATGGTTGAGACACTGAGTTTTCCAATGAGGGAAGAGGATTGCCGTCCTATCCTATAATGAGTGAGTGATAACACGAAACATTTTAATTCTTGGGATTCATTTCCTGGAACAGGATATTTCATAACAAAAGTATGCCCAGTCAGATTTGTCAGTTTCATACTGCACTTTCATTGAATCAGGGATATGTCAACTTTGAGATTATTTTTAGGCCACAGTTTGCTTTTTAGCCTTATTTATGTTACTGAGAAGATATATCAGAACTGTGTTATCTAAAGTGGGCAAGGGGAACATAACTTCCAAGGTAGGAAATATCAAAGAATGTAAGATGACTTTGAGGGAAAACTGAAACCAGGGTTTAGATTGTTTTCATAATTTGAGAATGACTGATAGAATGTATAATACACCTGTTCAGATATCATATTTTCACATGTTTTTTCTATTCATTTTTATGCCCAGAGAAAAACTCACATAGATAATCATATATTTGTGATAATACTTATAAATTACAGATAAATATATTTCTTTCCTGTTCAATCCCCAAAGATGCAGAGGGAGATACTGGGCATCCTCTGCAGTGGTTGTTTTCAGTTTGTGTTCCGAAATCATGAAATCATTGGTTTCAAACCCCATGATTCCTTGATGGCATCGTGGGGCAAAGGCGGACTTAACAAGCAGCACTCTACTGTGCCCTATCCCCCTTTCTCACTTCTATCAGGGCAACTCCTTATCTTTTTGCATATTGTGTTTGCATATTGCATAGATTTTATTAGAAGGATGAATTGTTTGTGAAAGAGAAACAAACAAAAAACATTGGTAGCAATAGATCTGCTTTGCAGATCAGTATCTGCTTTGAATGCCAATGTTGCTGTAGAGGCTGGTATTCTAGAGACTAATCACTAGAGAAATATAATCTTGGTTAACTCTTTTTTTAAAAAATATATTTTTATTGATTTCAGAGAAGAAGGGAGAGAGGAGAGAGATAGAAACATCAATGATGAGAGAATCATGCTTCCTGCATGCCACGAAGTGGGGATCCAGCCCGCAACCCAGACATATGTCCTTGACCGAAATCGAACCTGGGACCCTTCAGTCCACAGGCTGATGCTTTATCCACTGAGCCAAACTGGCTAGGGCAACCTTGGTTAAGTCTTTAAACTCTATTGTGGTCTTGGAGTCCTTTATTTTCTTTTTATAAGGAAAGCAGCAGCTGAATAAAATGTAAGTTGCTGCACTATCGAAAACCTAGTAATACTGTATTTCTTAACATTTGGTAATTCCAAATATAGCTGCTTTGAAAAACTCCAAAGATGCTTTTAGTAGCTCCCTTTGTTTAAGATCCATTTGGTTCTGATCTATACCAGTACACTAATGCCATCTTAGAGTCTGTGGGTCTGCCTAGGGCCTGCCCTCGGAGATGTTTTCAGGAAAATGTTTAGAACTAACTACTGTCTATAATCTCTCATAATTATTTAATAGGTACTTATTTAGTGTTTACTTTGTACCAGGTACTGTTTCTAAGTACTTGAAAAATATGAATTCATTTAATTTTCATAATATCCTGTGAAATAGATAATATTATCCCCATTTTGCAGGTAAAGAAACTGAAACACAAAAGTTAAATAGCTTGCAAAGGGTTAATACAGCTTGAAGGAGGAGAACCTTTTACTTAAAACTGTGTCATGAATTTGGAGGAGTGGAATCCTTTAAGTTCCATAATAGTATTTCTTTCTGTTTAAGGTTTTGAAGTACAAGAAGAAGGTTACCTCGCAAAAATTCTGGTTCCAGAAGGCACAAGAGATGTCCCTTTAGGAACACCACTCTGTATCATTGTAGAAAAAGAGGCAGATATACCAGCATTTGCTGACTATAGGCCAACTGGAGTAACTGATTTAAAGCCACAAGCACCACCACCTACCCCTCCCCCGGTAGGTTTGCTTCCAGAATGGAGGGAACACTTATTTATCCCTTTCTAAATTTAGGGATTAGATTAGATGATATTCTAGGTTCCTTCTAGCTCTAAGAATTTATGAATGAGAAAGGAGATGGCTAACATTTGTGGAGACCTACAAGGGGTGTGGCACTGCACCATTCACCTAATGGCCAATAATTTGATCCGTGTAGCTTTCCTTTTTTTCATGCTGTCTTGAGTCATGCTGAGAACAAAGCTGAGGTGACAGGCTCCTTTTCTGCTTTAGATGTTTATGCATATGGAAGATAATGCTTTGCTCCCCATTTTCTATAGGATTTACTATGTAATCTTTGTCACTGTCAACCCTCTTGGTGGTCGCATGTTACAGTGGGTCAGGCTTATCTTTATAATACATTGGAACCTTGACATAACATGACTTGTTTTGCATAAAACTTAGTCTGACACTATATACTCTACGCGGTATGCTATGTACCTGTAACATGAGCTTGTATGAACTCCAAGCATTGATAACAGTGTCGGAAGGCTTCTGCAGATGCCAGAATCATGATGGTGTAGACTAGGTACACATTTCTGTCAAAGAAAATTTGATTTCTGACTTCCATACATTCATGGGGAGCTGGCAAGTAGTAGTTTTGTTTTATTTCTTAAGGAACTTTCAACATGAGACCTTCCAGCATAATTTATTGTTTTGAAATTAGGTTTAATAAAAACAAAAACCATATTGGTGATGTAAGAAAATGATAATAGAGAAGTGGCAAGAGAGTAAAGTGAAGAAAATCTATAAGGATATATATACTGGTCAGCGGTATTAAATTCCATGCCTCTATGTTATGGAGTAAGATGACTTTGTTCTGTCTTTGACATAAAGTATTGCTATTATTCATATGGCTATATTATGTTGATTAAGTAGGGAAACTGTTGTGATCTTTGGAGGAAAAATGAAAGTTATTCAATTAAGGTATCTTTGACTTAAAAATGTAAGCTGTTGATCTTTCAGACCAATCTTTGCAGTGGTGAATTAACAATTTGTAACTTTTTTAAAAAGGCGACCCCTGTTCCTCCAACTCCCCAACCTGTAGCCTCTACACCATCAGCCACCCGCCCGGCTACTCCTGCTGGACCAAAGGGAAGGTTGTTTGTTAGCCCTCTTGCAAAGAAATTGGCAGCAGAGAAGGGGATTGACCTTACACAAGTAAAAGGTAAGTCTGTTTCTATGGAATGGAGTTGTAAAGCTAAAATTTGGTTGTGTTTCTTCCTTAAGACCAGCAAATACCACTATATATAGTCATTTTTTCTGGGATGGTGGGGAGAAAGATAAGGGATGGAAATAACTCCTTTCTTGGTACCACAGATTTAGGAAATTTCATTGTGCTTTATTTAGTCTAAGATCTACCTATATAATTTAGATAGCTTTTTTCTTTATCTAATCATGGGAACTGCTTAATTGTTGGTAAAAATTATAATGTGCTTATTCAGCAAAGTTGGTTTATAGGACTTGATTTTATAGTAAGAAATCTATTAGTTCTCGGCTGACTGAATGTAGCAATACACAATCACAACATGATGTTTGGTGATTAGAAATGACTTAAAAACAAGTAAAGCTCCCAGAAGGCAAAAGAAAATGTTTTCCTTTTTCTCCCCAAGAAAAAGTATAGCTTTGCATGGGGTCTTGAATCACTCCATCTAGGATTTAATTCTGGCTTTGTCATTTTCTGTGTAATATGTTCTTTGGTGAATTACTTAAAGTGTATATGTCTTTATAGGAATTACTTACTTCATCTGTTTTTACATCTGTAAAACTGAAATAATTGTGTGCGTTAAAACAGGTGAAGTGCTTAGAATAGTATCTAGAATATATAAGTACTCAAACCATACTTGTTTTGTTCATATTGTTATTATTGCCTGGCATTTAAATAAATGTTTTTAAACTAAAACTAAGCTAAAGTTTAATGTAGGGCATTAAGATTCTTATTGAGATAAGGGGAGAAATTACTATTTGTGGAACCTGGTTTGATGGCTAGTACTGTGTACTAGTCATGTAGTACTACATTTAATTTGTGTAACACTTTTTGAAGTAAGAATTATCATTCCCTATTTTTTTGGATAAGAAATAGACTCTTAAGGGAGCTCCCTTTCTGTGAAGTAGTAAAGTTACAATTTGAATCTAGATTGTTTAATTCTAAAGCCTGTATTCCCACTACCTTTGTTCTGCCTTCTGTTTTGATGTTCTGCCTCCCTTAATTGAGAAAATAATAACTGGTTATTTTCCCAGTTGTCCAGCTATGGGCACTCAGTGCTGGTTATCTTTGCATTTAGTTATTTTGCGCTTAGAAGACAAACCAATCTCCAAAGATATAAGAATAAGATACTGTAAATTTTTGGACCTAAGAGGATTCTTGTAATATTGTAAGACCTGTTTTCCCATGTTAATGTATATAACTAGTATATTGTCATTCTTTATATGTTATTAGAACCAGGGAAAACAATATAAGTTGGAATAAATTTTAAGAGGAGGAAGGACTGGGTTAATAAGTATATCTGAAGAATTTAGACAAGTAAGGTGATTCATTTATTTTCTTTTTTAATATATTTCTTTATTGATTTCAGAGAGGAAGGGAGAAGGAGAGATAGAAACATCAATGATGAGAGAGAATCACTGATTGGCTGCCTTCTGCACACCCCCCACCGGGGATTGAGCCTGCAACCCAGGCATTTGTCCTTGGCCGGAATCGAACCCAGGACCTCTCAGTCCACAGGCCGACGCTCTATCCACTGAGCCAAGCCAGCTAGGGCTCATTTATTATTTAAACAAATATTCGTTGAGTATTGTTTATACATCCAACATTTGCTCATAAGACAGACAAGTTTCCATGTCAGATGGTTATATTACCAACAATAAATAATTAAATGAACAGAAAGGGAATATGGCATAGTAGTTAAGAGTGTAGATTCTGGAGCTGGAATGCTTCGGTTTGAACCCCAACTCTGCCATACATTATCTGTATGACCTTTTGTGTCTTAGTTTCTTCATTTGTATCTGAAAAGAATTCCTTATAGGTTGTGAGGATTAAATAAGTTAATAAACACTATCTGCACATAGAAAGCATTTATAGGTATTAGCTATAATAACAATAACATTATTATTTAATAAGATGATTTACATGCTAACAAAGAAACCAGATGATATATGAGTGAGTAACAGGGTCAATAAATGTGCAGTTATGACTGCTTTTAGCCAGGGTGGTTGGGGAAGATCTTTCTAATGTGACATTTGATCTGACCTGGAAGACGAGTCAGTTATGAGCCAACTATGTGGAAAACTGGGGAAGAAGCATTTTGGGCAGAGAGATCAGTAGTACACAGTTTGAAAGTGGAAAACAGCTTAGCATATTTGAAAACCTAAAAGTGGCCTGTGTTAATGGAGCATAATGAGCAAAGAAAGGGTCTAATGATAGATGAAGTTGAAAGAAATATGGGTGAGATCATAAAAGACTTCATAGCTTACTAGAGGCCTGGTGCATGAAATTCGTGCATGGAGGAGGGGGGGTGTCCCCTCAGCCCAGACTGCACCCTCTCCTTCTGACATCCCTCTCACAATCCAGGACTGCTGGCTCCTAACTGCTCACCTGCCTGCCTACCTGCTTGCCCCTAATGCCCTCTGCCTATGGCCCCAAACTGCACCCCTGCCTCCTCCTCTAACTGCCCCCCCCCCTCCACTGGCCTTGTTGCCCCATGCAGCCTGTTGTTCGGTCGTTAGTGTTACCCCCTTACTGCCCCCCTGCTGGCCTGGTCGCCCTTACTGCACACACTCCCCACCCCCCACCCCCGCGCACCCTGGCTGCCCCTAACTACCCCCCACACCCCCACTGGCCTGGGTGACAGTGTCCCGGACAATTTGCATATTCCTCTTATTAGTATAGATGGTAGAATTTAAGTTTTATTTAAAGTACAGTAGGAAGTCACTGAAAGATTAAAACAGAACTTATATTTTTAAAGGATCATTTTGGCCTCTTTAAAAATGGATTACATGAAAGCCAAGACATCTGTTAAGATGTTGTTTCTGGAACTGATGGTGGTGGCTTAGCCCAGGTCTGGGGAACGTCTGGCCCTTGGGCTGTATAAGGCCCACAAAATCACTTGGTCTGGCCCTGTCAAGGCATTCTGGGTGAGTTAATTAAATGTTTGACCAAATACAGCGGCTAATTTTTAAGTTGATTATTTTGTGTGGCCCTCGAATGATGTTATAAATATTAAAATGACCCTTGCCAGAAATAAGTTTCCCCACCCCTGGATTAGACAGACTATGGTGGTGATAGTGGAAGTGGAAAGAAATGGACAGCTTCAAGATACATTTTTTGACATAGAATGAACAGAACTTAGTCAAGGATTGGGTACGGGGACTCGACAGCAGTAATTTCAAAAGAAATGTATGGTGGAAGCCAGTTTGGATAGGTTGAAAAGTATCTCTTATATTTTGGGAAAGTAAGAGGTGTTGGGATTGGCCTTTGACAGGAATTAGGACATTTTGTTTTTATAGGAGAGAAGAGAACATGGGGTCGGATTTTAGGTTTGGTAGTGGAGGATGGGTAGAATACCTCCGGTTGCTGCTATTTGAAGTGAGGATATCAGCTGGAGAATGAGTGTGGCTAAGTTTGAGGTTAGGTTGTGTAGTGTTCTCAGAGATTGGGAAAGTGAGTTCAAGGAAAACATAATTTCAGCAACATTAAGCAACTCTGGTGCTGGCACTGTGAAGGCTGACATTTTGGAGTTTGATCAGGAAGTGATTATAACAATGATCCATAGGGTGTAAAATGGGTAAGGAGGAACTGAAGACAAAAGGAAATAATGGATGATGAGAACAGAGGAGAGTCAGTGGAATGAAGGTCTTGATGAGGTCAAATTAATTTTACAGGAGGGGGAGGGAGTGGTTTAGAATAAGTGAGCTGAGAGGATCATTGATTGTGTTGTGTTTTCTGACATCAAATGTATTTTTTCCACACCGACAATCAGTTCTACAACACAACTCATATCCAATAATTCAGTCCTGTCATGACACTAACTATCCAGAGTGAGCGTCAGACTCCACAGGATTAAGGGCTCAGTCCCATGAGACTCTCCTCCTTCAGATACCAGTTGCAAGTCCTAGGACCACCAGACTCCTGACCTATTGGCTGTAAGTCAGGAGTTCTTAACACCCCTCTCCCCCGGTGCAGTAATGTACTAGAATGATTCACAGAACTCAGGAAAGCACTTTACTTACTATTACATTTTATTGTAAAGGATACAACTCAGAAACAGTCAAATAGAAGAAGTACATAGGACAAGGCATGGGCTGGGGTGGGGTGGGGTGGGGTGGGTTGCAGAGCTTCCATGCCCTCTCTGGGAGCACCACCCTCCCAGCAGAGTGATGTGTTCACCAACCTAGAAACTCACCAAATCTCATTATTCAAGAATATTGTTTTAATTTTTATTGGAGAGAGAGACAATCGATTTGTTCCACCTATTTTTTGCATTCTTTGGTTGCTTCTTATATGTGCCTGACTGAAGATCGAACCTGAAACCTTGGCATATGAGACAATGTTCTAACCAACCGAGGTACCCAGCCAGGGCTCAGGAGTCTTAGTGGTTAATTAAGTCATTAGCCATTGGTTGTTGGGCTCAGTCTCTCTGGAAGGACAGATTACTTAGCAAATTTGACCAAAATGTAATCATTTGGGGAGAAACTTTTAAATCCTAAACCCTTATGTTCAGAGTTTGATTTGTCACAAAGCTAGCCATATTGTTTTATATTTTTTAATGCAAAGCACTTTCACATCACTATCCCACTTGAAAAAAAATTTTTTTTTCAATTGCTGTTGACATACAATATTATATTAGTTTTTGGTGTTCAACATAGTGGTTAGACATTTATATACCTTACGAAGTGGTTACCCTGATAAGTCTAGTACCCATCTGACATCATACATAGTTATTACATTATTATTGACTGTATTCCCTATGCTGTACTTTACATAACCCGAAATTTTGTCACTATCCCATTTTATCCTGTGAGCAGGAACTGGTATTATAGTCTCTCTCCTACAGATGAGACTGAAGTGACTATAGCTATTTGTTTAGTTTATATTTGACAACAACTATACATTCTTGTCCTAGTCTAGTTTTCTTCCCTTTACCAGTATTGCTTTATGATGGCCTGTTGTGCCTTCCTGGGGAGATAGGCAAATAGGTGGCTGAAGATTAGCATAGGCGAGGCAGTGCTACAGCTTTCCTTCTCTTGAGGGGTTGCAGTGTCTGATCGGCCTTGGTTGTAAGGGGCGGTTATGGTTTCTTATGTCTTTAAAAGGAGGGGAATCTAATAGGGGTACTGCTACCTCTGTTCTAGAGCGCCTGGTGAGGATAAACACAATCCTAGCCAACTCAATTTTCATAATGAAGGAAAGGAGTTGGGACGAACTTCATACAACGTGAATCCTTTTAAAAGTCTGCCTTGGGGGAAGATGAATCAATTTGACCAAATTTTTTCTAGAAGTGGGCCATTGTAAAAGGTATTTTAATAACTAAATTCTGAATCTCCTTAGAATTAAGGTTCAGGATTATTTACTACTTGGGTCTGAAGTTAAACCTAAAGAGGTTGTGGATGGGAGGCGGAAGGAAATTAAAAATAAACTCTAGTAAGAACTTTGAAGATCTTTGCTTATGTATGACATTACACCTATTTCCTTCAGAGTCTCCAACACAGGCCAGTTTAGACTTAGACCCTTGGCTACTCTGGGAAAGTTGTGAAAAATGGAGAGCACATAAGAAATGAATGGTTCCACAGATAAGATCATGGTTTTGGGGTAAAAATATTAACTTGCCTGATTTATCTAACACAGTTGTTACCATAACTGTTGACTCTGTACAAAGGGAGTTCTTTTCTTTTCTTTTTTTAAATTGATTTCAGAGAGAGACATCAATCATTAGTTGGCCACCTCCTGCACACTCCCTATTGGGGATCTAGCCTACAACCCAGGCATGTGCCCTGACCCAGAATCAAACTCAGCGCTCAACCACTGAGCACACTACCTGGGCTCTTTATGGTCAAATGAATCTAGAACCCAAATGAGATCTATTTAATGGTTCAGAAAGAAGTTTTTTTAAGCTAACCAGGAAGAGGCACTTAAACTTCCTTTTAGAGATATAAGTTGTACTCAGCATTACCCTTATGCTGGTATTTCCCAATTTGAAAGTAAAGGAGATGAAAAAATAAAGTACAATTTAAGTAGATAAAATTTCAAAAGAGGAATACTTGCTATAGTTAAAAAGAATCACTTTTGCCCAGCAGTCATGGCTCAGTGGTTGAGCCTCGACCTATGCACCAGGAGGTCATGGTTTGACTCCTGGTCAGGGCACATGCCCGGGTTGTGGGCATGATCCCCAGTGTGGGGTATGCAGGAGGCAGCCCATCAATGATTTTCTCTCATCATTAATGTTTTTATCTCTTTCTCTCCCTTCCTTTCTGAAATCAATAAAAAATATATTTTAAAAAAGAAAAGAAACATCACGCCCCCTACTGGGGATTGAGTCCGCAACCTGGGCATGTGCCCTTGACCAGAATTGAACCTGGAGTCCTTCAGTCCTTGGGCTGATGCTCTATCCACAGAGCCAAACCAGATAGGACATCATCATTGATGTTTCTCTCTCTCTCCCCCTCTCCCTTCTCCTTTGGAATAAGTAAAAATATATTTAAAAAATAATAATAAACCACTACAGATCAAGCAAGAGCACTCTGTAAATTAAAAGTAACAATCGACAAAAGCTGGTATTTCTAGGAACTTGAGAGGGCAGGGTTAAGGCTGTGATCCCTTCGGCCTTTGGTAGAGAACCTTAGGAACTTGCGCTCAGAATCACAGTGTTGGTCTCCTTGAGGAACCAGCAGTAGGCTGTTGTCTGTGGGATTGATATTTATGTATCTCTTCCAGGGACGGGACCAGAAGGCAGAATCATCAAGAAGGACATCGACTCTTTCGTGCCTACTAAAGCTGCTCCTGTGAGTTACATTGGCTTTTCCCCCCCAGTTTGTCCCCTGAAAAGTGCTTTGTCCAGTCTCTTAGACCCTTTCATACATTATATATGAATGAAATAGCTTAATCAGAACTGTGTTTTCTTTTGCCTGATGTCAGGGGTTAATAGTATATGGATTTGAATATGGTGTCATTCATCTATAAAAGCAAAGATGAGACACTAAATTGACATGCATTCCAAATTGTTTTGTTTTTTTTTTAATAGTGACACTACATTTTTTTCTAGCACATCCTCTTTTTTCCATTCAGGCCCTATTTTTATTTTATTTAATTTTTAAAATATATTTTTATTGATTTCAGAGAGGAAGGGAGAGGAAGAGAGAGAGAAACATCAGTGATGAGAGAGAATCATTAATGGGCTGCCTTCTGCATGGCCCCTACTGGGGATTGAGCCTGCAACCCAGGCACATGCCCTGACTGGGAATCAAACTGTACCTCCTGGTTACAGGCTCAATCCCCCAGTGTGGGGCATGCAAGAGGCAGCCAATCAGTGATTCTCTCATCATTGATGTTTCTATCTCTCTTCTCTTTCTTCCTCTCTGAAATCAATGAAAATGTACTTTTTGAAAATTATTTTCACATAAACTAATCATTATACATACTCTGGCTCACAGAGCAGTGATACTTAAAACATGATTACAGAATTCTAAGTATAAAAATTAAAATCAAAACTCTTAAGCATGTCCAAATCTGAATCCCTTTTGCACCTGGGATAGAAATAGCTATTTTTTTATTAGCCTTTTAATTTGTATTTTGTCATCTGTACAAGAGTCATTAGTAGTTGTTTCCATTTGCTTATGCTGAGGTTGAGCCACAGTCACTAAGAGCTTTCTTACCTTCTCATAGGCTCCAGCAGCTGCCGTGCCTCCCCCAGCTCCAGGAGTGGCACCAGTACCTACAGGTGTCTTCACAGATATCCCACTCAGCAACATTCGTCGAGTAAGAGTATTATCATAAATCAGGAACTAAGGCGGTGGGAGCATCTTCATTGCATCCATAGTTTGAAATGGACTTTTTTTAGTTGACAGTCTTAGATGATTAGTTTAAAAGATGTTTGGTTTGGCCAGTTACATACTTGGGGTAAACACTGTTCTGATTAAAAAATGTTAGAAGGTGCTAAGGTACGGTGTAGTCCTCTGTCTTCCAATTCTAATAATGCTTTTGAGGTAAACATTACCAGGAACAGTGTAAAGAGGCAAACAGAATCCTGAATTAAAGTCTCACCTCATCTCAAGATAATTGACTTTTAAATCTCTTTCGTTTCAGGTTATTGCACAGCGGTTAATGCAATCCAAGCAAACCATACCTCATTATTACCTTTCTATCGATGTCAATATGGGAGAAGTTTTGTTGGTACGGAAAGAACTTAATAAGGTAAAAGGTCTGGAAATTCCAATTCTATAAACCACTAAACATTGACATTTTTGCCCATATCTTTTGTAACAATATGCCAGTTGATGGAAAATGGGTGTCATCTTAATTTTAACTTGGAAAAACTGTCCTGGAGAAATTTCATTTTTCTAGCCCTTGATTAAAGCCTGTCATTTACAGTTGACTTTGCCTTGGATCCATTTTAGCCTAGCAGAGTCACTATGATTCTATGAGACTGCTGAGTCCTTTGATAGATAAGATACAGTGTGTTTACTTTGTGTTTATAGTTAAGTACCAAACACTTACATAGTGTTTAGCATAAGGCACTTTTGGGAACGCAGCATAAGGCATAGTTAATTAAGATGAGCTTATCTAATTAAGATCATGCATGTGAAAAAGAGAGAGGCAATTTTTTAAAATACATTTTTATTGATTTCAGAGAGGAAGAGGGAGAGAGAGATAGAAACATCCATGATGAGAGAGAATCTTTGATCGTCTGCCTCCTGCAAGTCCGCCACTAGAGATCGAGCTCACAACCCAGGCCTGTGCCCTTGACCAGAATCGAACCTGGCACCTTTCAGTTTGCAGGCTCTATCCACTGAGCCGAACCAGCTAGGGCAGGAGGCAGTTTTTATTAAAGTAAAAATATTCATTTGTAGATCAGTCTCTGTGGTAATGCCCCTGGCCTGCTAGATTACATTGTTAAGTGTTACCGGAGTTCTGAGAATGGGGAGATAAGTGAAAGCAGTTGGGGAATTCAGAATGGTGTAGGAAACACTTGGTTGAACTGTGGAGAATAGGAAGTGTTTGGACTGGCAAAAATATTGAAGAAAGTTTTCTCTCTCCCCCTCCTCCTTTCCCGTTCTCCCTCCCTTCCCCCCACCCCCTTAAAATCAATAAATTTTTTTTTTAGTCCTCACCTGAGCATATTTTTACATTTATTTTTTTAGAGAGAGTGGGAGAGGGAAAGACAGAAACATGGATGTGAAAGAAACACATTGATTGGTTGCCTCCTGCACCAGCCCTGGCCTGGGCCCAGGCCAGGGAGGAGCCTGCAACCAAGGTGTGTGCCCTTGACTGGAATTGAGCCCAGGACCCTTTAGTCCACAGGCCGACACTATCCACTGAGCCAAACTGGCTAGGACTTTTTTTTTTTTTTATAAGGGAAATAAGGATAGCATATGTAGGAGATAGGTTACCTTTTCTAGAGTGGATACAGTTGTTAGTTTAGGGAAATACCTTGATTTATTCATAAGCAGAAGAAGTTGGACTTGATGAATTAAACATAAAGTAACAGTGACATGATGTTAGCAATATTTTAAGAAAAATTAATATGTTAGATTTATACGTACTGGCATACCTTAATGGTAGATAATATTTTTGCTTGTCATATAAGCATGAAGTTACGGTGGTAAGAATCTAGACTAGAGGTTTGTATTAAGAATGAAGTAGGCCCTGACCGGTTTGGCTCAGTGGATAGAGCGTCGGCCTGCGGACTGAAGGGTCTCGGGTTCGATTCCGGTCAAGGGCATGTACCTTGGTTGCAGGCACATCCCCAGTTGGGGGTATGCAAGACGCAGCTGATCGATGTTTCTCTCTCATCGATGTTTCTAGCTCTCTATTCCTCCCTTCCTCTCTATAAAAAAAAATCAATAAAAGATATATTTTTTAAAAAAAGAATGAAGTAGGAGACAGGAAGATGAAAAATATTTTCAAGAATTGAAAAGTAAGAACCACTCTTCTTGAGTGGCGTAGGGTCCTTACATAACCTCTCTGACTTCCTCTTCTACTACTTTCCCACTTGCTCGCTCTGCTGAAGACACAATAGTTGCCTTGCTATTCCTCAACATCCTACCTGTACACCTACATGCTGTTCCCTCTGCATGGGCTATACTTCCTCTAGTATCTACCTGGGTTCCTCCTGCTCTTCCTGAAGGATTTGATTTAACATTACCTCGTTTTTCTCTGGTCATCTTACTCTAAAGCAGTTGTTCTCAACCTTTTACATACAGTTCCTCATGTTGTGACCCAACCATAAAATTGTTTTCATTGCAACTTCATAACTGTAATGTTACTACTGTTATGAATCGTAATGTAAATATCTGATATGCAGGATGACCCCTGTGGAAAGGTCGTTTGACCGCCAAAGGGGTCTCCACCCACAGGTTGAGAACTGCTGCTCTAAAGTTAAGGGAAGAGGAATAAGGTAAGTAAGTTCTCTCTTTAGTTCTTTTTCCAGCTTTATTTTTCTCCTTAGCTCTTAACAATGTCTATATGTTTATCTTATTATCTATTCTCCCCTTTAAACTGTAAGCTACCTGATAATAGAATTTTTTTTAAAATATATTTTTATTGCCCTAGCTGGTTTGGCTCAGCAGATAGAGCGTCGGCCTGCGGACTGAAGGGTCCCAGGTTCGATTCTGGTCAAGGGCATGTACCTTGGTTGCAGGCACATCCCCAGTGTGGGGGCGTGCAGGAGGCAGCTGAATTGATGTTTCTATCATGTATTTGTATTTTTATTGATTTCAGAGAGGAAGGAAGAGGGAGAGAGAGAAACATCAATGATGAGAGAGAATCTTTGATCGACTGCCTCTTACACACCCCCTACCGGGGATTGAGCCCACAACCAGAGCATGTGCCCTTGACCAGAATCGAACCCAGGACCCTTCAGTTCACAGGCCGATGCTCTATCCACCGAGCCAAACCAGCTAGGGCTGTTAATAGAATTTATATACTTTTTTCCCCATTGTTTTATATCCAGGGCTTTAGAGTTATATGCACAACAGAGTAGACTCTCAAATATTAGATGCAAGAATGGATAAATGAAGCAGTGAAGCATCAGCACAACTTTGCAACTGGCCTCGGGTCATAGATGGTGACAGACTTTCATTGTCAAAATATTAAAGCTGTTTTATAATATATTTGTGAATTAGGCATGAAAAACATATGTCCAGTATATTATTTTATTTAATTACTACAGGCCCAGTGCACGGATTCATGCACTGGTAGGGGGTGTGGCCTGTGGGGATTGCCCGCTGTGGGAGCACTGCTCATCCCAGTCAGCCGAGCTGCGCTCCCACTGTGGGAGCGCACTGACCACAAGTGGCAGATCCTGAATGTCTGCCCCCTGGTGGTCAGTGCACGTCATAGCGACTGGTCGACCAGTTCTGTTCTAAGATGAGCACGGGATGTCATTTCATTTATTTAGTTCTTAAATTTCAATGATTTTTGTAGTTTTAGAGTACAAGTTTTTGCACTTTTGTTAAATTTTTTCCTAGGTATTTTCTTTTTAATACTGTTATAAATTTTATTTTCAGATAGTTTGTTACTATTGTCTAAAAATACAAATTGACTTTTGTATATTGATCTTATATCTTAAAACATTGTTTTTTAGTGTGTTCCTTGGGATTTTCTATATACAAAGTCATGTGATCTGCAAATAAAGATAGTTTTGCTTTCTAATCTGGACGCCTTTTATTTCCTTTTACTATCTCACTTCTCTGGCTTGCACATCTAGTGCAATGTTGAATAGAAGCAGCAAGAGTGGACACCTTGTTTTATTCTTGATCTTAGGGGGTAATAAGTCTTTCCCCAGTGAAATATGATGATGATGGTGGAGTTTTTGTAGATCTGCTATCATCAAGAAGTTACCTTCTGTTTCTAGTTTGTTGAATGTTCTTATCATGAAGAATTGTTGAATTTTGTCAAATGCTTTTCTGTGTCTCTTAAATGGTCATGTGGTTTTTGTCCTATATCCTATTAAGACATCATTACATTAATGTAGTAATGTTAAAGCAACCTTGCATTCCTGGAACAAATCCAATTATGTCATGGGGAATAATCTTATTTGTTTGTTTATTTATTATCATTACTAGAGGCCCAGTGCATGAAACTTGTGCACTCGGGGTAGAGGGTCCCTCAGCCTGGCCTGTGCCCTCTCACAGTCTGGGAGCCCTTGGGGGATGTCGGACTGACTGCTTAGGTCTGCTCTCCAAGGGTCTAAGCCAGCAGTCAGACATCCTTAGCATTGCTGCGGAGGCGGGAGGGGCTCCCGCGACTGCTGCTGTGCTCGCCAGCTTCCAGCTGAGCAGCACTACCCCTGTGGGAGCACACTGACCACCAGGGGGCAGCTCCTGCATTGAGCATCTGCCCCCTGGTGGTCAATGTGTGTCATAGCAACCGGTCTTCCCGCCGTTTGGTTGATTTGCATATTAGCCTTTTATTATGTAGGATTATTTTTTAATCCTCACCTGAGTATATTTTTTCATCCTTTCCCCTTCAGAACATTTGTAAATCCCTCTCCCATCTCCTTTCCCAAGATTATATAATTTCAGTATTTGGGAAGATAATTTAAAAAACAATGGTTTCTTGTCTTTGCAGATGTTAGAAGGGAAAAGCAAAATTTCTGTCAATGACTTCCTCATAAAAGCTTCAGCTTTGGCATGTTTAAAAGTTCCTGAAGCAAATTCTTCTTGGCTGGACACAGTTATAAGACAGTAAGTATAACACTGCTGGGGAAGGTGTATATCCATCAGCAGTTTTGTTGTGTTATCTAATGTATACCTAGGAGTGTAGGGGAAGGAGAAATGGAATACAGAGACTCGGACTATAACTGCCATAGGTAAAACAATTTGTAAATGGCATAGAACTATTTATGAGACAGGCCTAAGTTTACATAGTAAAGACTACAGATTCTTTGTATGAGCTCAATAAAGGGAGATGAGTGTTAAGTTGATAATGATTCTTACAAAGGAAAGTGATATATTTTTTGTTCACTAGTTCTGCTGAACTTTAGAGGGGGGGACAAAGTTGAAAACAAACCAAAAAACAGTTTTATTAATGTTATGGTGACATGTGACTAGTGGTGGCACTGTGTCTTTCACATATTGTCTCATTTAATCCTATGACCACCTTATGAGCTAGGTGCTTCACTCCCATTTTCTAGACGAAGAAACTGAGGATTAGTGAGTTAAATAACTGTCCCTGAGTTAATATGTTAATAGTAGAACTGTGATCGGAAACCAGGATTCTGACTTCTAAGCCTAGGCTTTTCCTATTATGTAGGCTTTTAAATATTATTAATTTAATTTTTATTAAAATAATAGTATATATGTTAAAATACTGCTGCATGGCTTACAGGGACCTGCTCAGCCTTTAATCTGAAGTCCACTCCCAAGAGGCAAACACAGACTTTAAACTGTTATTTCTTTTGGTATTTACCTTCATAATGAATTTTTTTTTCATTTCTTTTACTTTACTGAATGATTTCCTATTAAAGAAGAATTAAGATTTAACTTTATTGTACCCTCCCTAAACACTCCCACCCACCCATCATCTTACGAAATAAATTATAGCACAGATTTTGTTTATGACTAAAATGTTTAGTATGCTTTGAATACTAACCTAACTGCTTTTATTTATAATCCTCACCCGAGGATATTTTTCCCCCTATTAATTTATTTTTTAATCTTGTTAAAAGTATTACATGTCCTGTTTCTTCCACCATTAACCACTTCCAGCTATCTATCCCTCCCACCCCCACCCCCCCAGGCTTTCACCACCTAAATGTCTGTGTCCATGGGTTATGCATATACTAGTACATACAGGTCTTTGGTTGTTGATCTCTTCTCACCTACCCACCCTCCTCCACCTTCCCTCTGTGATTCCACAGAATGGATTAGATTCCATGTCTCTGGATCCACGTCATTCATTAGTTTATTTTGTTACTTAGATTCCACATAGGAGTGAGACCATATGATACTTGTCTTTCTCTGACTGACTTCCTGGTATTTCACTTATCATGATACTCTCCAGGTCCCTCCATGCTGTCTCAAAAGGTGCAAATGTCCCACAGCTTTTTATTATTTTTTAAATTGATTTCTGAGAGGAAGGGAGAAGAGAGAAACATTAATGATGAGAGAGAATCATCGATTGGCCGCCTCCAGATTGTCCCCTTCTGGGGATCAAGCCCACAACCTGGGCATGTAGCCTTGACCAGAATTGAACCCGGGACCATTCAGTCCACAGGCCAATGCTCTGTCCACTAAGCCAAACTGGCTAGGGCTGTATCACAGCTTTTTTTTATCCACTCATCTACTGATGGGCACTTGGCTGTTTCCAAATCTTAGCTGTTATAAATTGTGCTGCTATGAATATAGAGGTACATATATTCTTTCTGATTGGTGTTTCTGTTTTCTTAGGATATATTTCTAGAAATGGGATCACTGGGTCAAATGGCAGTTCCATGTTTAATTTTTTGAAGAAACTCCATACTGTTTTTCCATAATGGCTGCACCAGTCTGCATTCCCATCAGCTGTGCACTAGGGTTTCCCTTTTCTCCATATCTTCACCAACACTTGTCATTTATTGATTTGTTGATGGTAGCCATTTTGACAATGTACCTACTATATAGTTTAAATTTAAAAATTTTGGCTCTCAAAAGAAATTTCAGTCGTTGTACTATTGATATTTGGCTCTGTTGACTAATGAATTTGCCGACCACTGGCCTAACACCTAACTGCTTTTTTGTTTGTTTGTTTGCACTTTCTCGTTTTTTGTTTTTTTTTACTTCTTTGCTCTCTAAAGCTGTAACATTGAAAAATCACCATAAAAGTCACAGAGCCTGTACAGCTGCCACTTCCTGGGCCTGGTGATCCCTGATGGCCACACACCAACTCACATTCACAGCATCCCCAACACAGTCGAGCCTCATCATTTCTCCTATCAGACTCTGAATCTGTGGGAATCTCTTGCAGAAACTATCCTAAATTATTAAACCAACACAAAGTTGCCTGTGGAGCCACGACTGCTTTTCTTTTTCTTAATAAGTCTTTATTGTTCAGATTATTATAGTTCCTCTTTTTTCTCCCCATAACTCCCCTCCACCCGGTTCCCACCCCACCCCATACCCTTCCCCCCCATTGTCCTTGTCCATAGGTGTTTAATTTTTGTCCAGTTTCTTCCCGCACCCCCCCCACACCCCCTTCCCGCCGAGAATTGTCAGTCCACTCCCTTTCTATGCTCCTGATTCTATTATATTCACCAGTTTATCCTGTTCATCATATTTTTATTCACTTGCTCTTTAGATTCACTTGTTGATAGATATGTATTTGTTGTCACTTCGTTGTTCATAATTTTTATCTTTACCTTTTTCTTCTTCCTCCTCTTCTTAAAGAATCCCCTTCAGCATTTTATACAGT